ACAACAAAAAAACAAAACAGATACCAATTGTAACTCCAAGAGGAGAGAAAAAAATAGAAATCCTTTAATTAGGCTTCCTAAGGGAAATTGTGAAAAAAAGAATACCAAGCCATATTTCTGTACACATGGGTTTACTTACTCCTTCTTATTTTGTCTTCTTTTCCTTCTCTCTGACCTGTCTATAAAAGTGCAATATTTAACATAAATTCACTCTAATCAAATCCTCTGAGGCTAATGTAAACATGCGCCGACCCTCCAATTAGCGAGTGCGATGCCAAATAACTATGGCTGCAGTCTGAAGTTACTTCCTGTGCTTCATCATGGGTGAAAGAGAGTTTTGAACTCAAGTTACCCAAACTGTGGTATTTTTCTACTGTTTACAAGATCACGGAGCCAGTATGACGGAGCAGTGAGGAACCTTGCATTTGTTTGCATATTCATGAACTGGGGTGGAGTGTTGATAATCTGCTTCTTCATTAAAATACAAACCTGGGTGAAGTTCAGCAGCCTGTCCGGTCATGGCAGGGGCGGGATCTTGCAGCTGGTAGGCTGCTGTGGAGCCTGTGCCATCCACGCTGTTGGAGGTCATATAAGTCCCGTAAGTGGAGGTGGAATAATACTGGGCATACTGGTTTTGGCCAAATGTCGTATATGAGGGATAATCCTGCAGAGAATGACATGAATTATGAGCACACAAGAGTGTAAAGACAAAAAAAAAAAAAGAATAGGAAAATTGAGATGTTTCCCTTGTCTGGAGAGGTTCAAACTGACTCTTGAAGAGAGATTTTACAAGTGTTCCTTCTCATTTCTCTAATCTTTTATTCCCTCGATTCTGTCCAAAACAGCTAAAGCCCTTGTGTTGCTGCTTTTTACTGTCCCAGTGGAGATGGGCGCTTTTATGAGTCAGCTCTCTAAACCTGTCACTACGTCCATCTCCACAAGTCCTTTTTTTATGAAGTGGAGCACACCACATGAATGCACACACATGCACAGTTTGTGTGTAGTCAGCAAAGTGTGTATGCAAGCATGCACAATCACACATCACATACTGTATACACACAGACTTGCTGTCTTTAAGTCTCTCTCTCCCTTTCCGTCTCTCTCTCTCTCTCTCTCTCTCACACACACACACACACAGACACACACACACACACACACACACACACACACTATATTCCCCTTAATCCACCCACACAAGCCAAACCTTGACTTTTTTCCCCCTAAACAGCCACATCTATCATAGTGGAACATTAAAATCCCCTTTAAGCATTTTACTACCACAATACAATTCATCACATGGACATGGAGAAATATTCAGAACAAAACACTCTTTCACAAAGATTCATTGTCTGTTTCTCTCGTAAGTTTGTTGCAAGTTCACAGTGTAATTAGATTTTATTTCTTGAAAGAGGAAGCATTGTGTGGGAGCATGACTGTGAAACCACTTCTGGTCTCAAATACTATCGCAACTGCACCATACGAAATCCTCATCTTTAATTTGAGCCAGCATAATGAGGAAACTCAGAGCAAACATGTAGCATGGTTGATCTGCTCTGGAAAGAACTCCCTTTGGGAAAAAGGCTTTCTTATTGGGCCTGGGAAAATGTGAGCTAACTTTCAGCTGGACAGTAACAGCAGTGCAGGTTTAAACTGAAGGACACACACACACACACACACACAGACACACGTACAGTATATAGACTCTGAGGTACCTGCTGTGTGGCAGTGTAGTTGGCGGGGTTGGACACTGAGTTGTTGGTGGCGTAGAGGCCTGAGGAAGGGGTGAAACTGGAACCTTGGAACACAAAGAAGAGGATGGCATTAGACAGCGGGAACGCATACAAGCAAAATAGAAATCAAACAACACTCTTAAACCGTGTGCAAAGTCATAGCATTGAAAGGTAAGATCATTTCCAGCAAGAATATAAAAATACTGACGATATTTCCTCCATTTTTCAACAGGAAAATAATGCAAATTGAAGTGGGAGTAACAAGAGAGGCATTAAAAACTCAAGCGTTTGATAGTGCATGTTCCCAACTGACCTGGCATCTGATAGGGTGAGTATGCAGTCTGTCCGGGCTGAGGTGTGGTGAAGCCGGGGCTGTAGCTGAGGCCTGTCTGCAGAGGAGACTGACTCTGGGCCAGGCCACCCTCTGTCTTAATGCCTGGCAGCATCACACCAAGGTCTGTGACAAGAACAACAAGAATATTACACAGTGTTTGTATTCACAGTACAAATATGTTTTTCTTTATACGCTAGACCCGTAGTTCCATTTATTATATAATTTATATGTGTTTGTTAGTGCAGCTACTGTGTGTCACTGTGTGTCTTTGTAAATGTGTGTTTATTGATACCATAGGAGGACAGTCCGTATGCCTGTCCTGTCTGGGCGTAAGCAGTGTAGACGGTCGACGGCTGCATGCTGCTGAACTGGGGTTGACCGGCGTACGTCGGCATGGGTGGGGCGGCCGGTGTGGAGAGAATGTGAGGATAGGGCCTGGGAGAGGAGAGAGATGAAAGGTGAGGTAGATGCAAGACAGATGACGGCAGAATAGGACAGTAAAGATAAAGTACAGGAGACGGCATGCTGATAAGGATTCTTTGAAAGCAGCTTCTGTTGTGTACAAAGCCAGACTTACTTTGATGGGTAGAGAGGAGGGGAATACTGGTGGGCTGAACGAGGGCTGTAACCGCTGCTGGTGATTACTAAAAACAGCACAATGATCAAAAACAACAAGGTTATGGATGGTGTCAACTCAAATCTTCTGTTTCCTTTCACATTCAACAAAAGCACCCCTGAACGGCACGGTTCAAGGCCTCAGGCTTGTTTGAGTTGAAACGCTGTTCAAGTAAACATCATTTGAAGCATTTTCAATGGAGAGGAGCCAAGTTCTTCCCTTTTAGAGAGCACTGTAGTCCATGAAACCCTTACAGCGGGCCTCTTAGTAAAACACAATGTCTGTTTGTGGTCATTGGGATGTCAGAGCTCAATACTGACCAACCCCCCCCCCCCCCCCCCCCCC